AATGATTTTTTTTGTTTTACGACAATCCGAGGCCAAGCTTGACATGAAAGGTGGGTCCTTTGTCAAGTTGCAAGTGCAACATCTGCGATTGTAATTAGCTTGTCGTGTTGTGTTGCGGGGTTGGGGGTTGGTCCACATGAGCTATAGTCTAAACTCCTAGTAGCACTCTTAACAATAAGCCCTCTAGCAGTCCCCTATATAATCCCCCTTTCAGGAGTCCCCTATGTAATCCCCTACATAACCCATCTTCAAGGAGTTTATCTTATGACTCATGACTCACATAATGTTTGAAACAGGCGCTTTCACCCAACAAGTCATGTCCGATGCAACCGGAGCTACATGAACTCCAAACCTACCCAGCACAAGATTTAAAGTATACCCCCCCATAAGAACATGCAACAACCTGGAGAAGCCTGAACGAATTCCGCGTTCGTTACCTTGTCATGCTTCTATAATTATAAGGCCCCATATTACACCCTAGGGGCTTTAATCCGAAGCCTGAACCCTTAAAAGCACCAACCCCCCTAAAATTAGAAATCCGCACGCGCGTTTGTCGATAAAATCGTTTCTGGGGACTGCAGAATCCCTTTGCACTACCCATGCATTATAGTACCCAGCGGTTGTTACTGTAGACGGGATGCATTCCTCCATTCCCTAGTAATGACCATTCGGACACTCAGTAGCCTAGGAACAACCAGAGGCCCTTGTTTAAAAGAACGCGGTTTCAGGAGGAACCTAGGAACACCAACAAGTGGAAAACCGACCACCGCGGAACCCAGAGCAAACCCCCCATGTCCTATGTAAACCCGGAACACTGAAATCTCAAATCCCCAACCCTTGAGTAAAGGGTCCCTGGGCTCCCATGGAGTGAGACCCTCAATGGCGCCAGGCCTTCAGCTGCTTCCGGCACTTCGACCACACCGCCGGGGTACACGCAGACAACTCCTCTGTCAGTAGCTCGGTTGAAGGATTTGGGGGTTTAGGATTCTAGAATTGAGGGTAAAAGCTTCTGAATTCAGGCCCAGAGTTCAAACACTCCATAATCATCTGTTTCCTTGAACATGCGTTAACCCGACTATTCTCCAAATCCGAAGTGCTCAAATATTGGACACTCCGACCCTTCAAGGTTTAGAAAGGGTTCATGGTGTAAAGGCTTGGGGCTTAAGCTTCAACGGATTAAGGGCTGAGGGCTTCAGGGTTCATAGATTTCTAGATGGTGTTACTCAGCGGGTCGGGGAGACTTTGCAACATGGCAACGTCCCCAAAGGCTAACCATCTTCTACCATCGGGCCGATTGGAGAAGAACCAAAGTTTGTTTTGCCAGGCTTGCATGCGAAACCCCTGCATAAAAAATATCCCCTTATTTAACAAGACATCCCAACAAGATTGATTAGGATTAATTACAGTAGCTACCTGGAGTCTTGCTTGACTTCGCCCCAAGCATGCTTCCAAAAGAGGGCTTACAACAAATCAAGGACTTGATCAAATTGTCCCTGAGGCATGTCTTCTATTGCAGAGACGATCCTCTTCTCGTCTGCTTAGAACACTAAACGTTTAACCTACTTATAACCGTGATGCTTAATGACAGAGCCATGAGAAAAATCACCTTGCGATGAAGATGGTGATTGAATCACTTGTACTTATCACACCCCTCAAAGTAGACTTCTCACCCTTAAGGTGACATTACAGGGCCTAAAAGCGTCTCCTAACGGACTAAGCCCTTCAGATCAGCAGCTGAACTTGGGCAACCCCTCTCGAAAAGATTGACTTTGAACTTACTCGTTTCAACCACGGAACAGCACAAGAAATTCTTTTACTAACCCCGAATCGTATACTTGATAAATTTGTCTTTTCTGTTCCTGCACTCCTTTGCTCACAGCCGGTTAAACCCTCAACCCTTAAAACCTTATCCCAAGGGTCCAAGGACTCAAATGATGAGGGTTGAGGTCCCAAATACCACTCAGATTATGGTACTCGGGCCCTAATACTCCAGTATTTGGGTCCTTCGACCCTTAGGGTGAACCATAACCTCTCTTCCCCAATAGCCAAGGCTAAAAAAGCTTAAACTTTAATTATAGTGACCCAAAAAGGAAGGCCAAGAAGTTTAAAGTTCCTCTATTGGCTAGCTCCCCTATGGGTATGGAGATTCCTGGGCTCTTTAGCTCCCCTTATTATACTGATATGCACTATCACTGGCTCCTGAGCTCCCCCCAACAGTATGGGTAGCTAGGAAAGTCAATCCCTACTCAGCCCTGAGGAGTCCAGGCCTTGACGTTAAGGCTCGGCATCTTGCCGGAGAGCGCAAGGGTCGAACCGCAACTGGCTGCAGGGCTGTTAGGTGGAATGGAGAGTGCAACGATTTCGGGTTTAGGGTTTAGGGGTATAGTCCCTCTTAAGTGGATAGAATATAGGGTAGCAGGTTTTGGTGCTTAAGGCGTTTGAGCTTTGAGGCGGGGGGTTTTGGGGGGCTTTGCATGGCTCTCAGGTAAAGGGCTTGTGGCTGGTCCCTACTTAAAGTCGGCTCTAGTGTTATGGCTAAGTAGGGATTCGGGCTAGCAAGTTTGGAGATTCGGCAATGGGTCTGGTTTCTGATGCTATCCATCTAAGATACATATACATATGTATATATATATATGTATACACCTAGAAGCACGGCTTGGGGTTTAGGCTTTGGGTTTGCGTCCTGTAGGGGTTACATGCGATTTTAGCGTCTGTGGTTTGAAACGAGGGGGAGGGCGGGAGGCCCATCCAAGAAAGACTGCCCTGAAGACCTACGGGACATCCATATCCTAACCCCAATATCGCCCATACTCCGCTCTTAAGCACTATAGAAGTCAAGCAACCGGTTGCGGATGCGCTTCCACGAATAGGCTGCGCAATATCATGGGACCTTGTTGAGGGTTAGGGGTTTAAGATATAAGCCTCAAAACCCGACGAGTCCATTCCCCAAAACCTGCCCTACAAGTACTATTACCAAAATCCAAGTACCTAATTATTGGGTACATGGACCCTCTGAGAAAAAAGGACCCATCATTTCTGGAAACCCCCAAGTAGACACTCAGGGGTGCTGACTGTTCGAAGCACAGGATGCCATGTTAAACCAGGGGGAGATACGATACACGTAGTTTTGTTTAGGGATAACTCTGCTAGAACACACAACAGGCCACATGGTACAGAATTGCGACAACGCTTATAGCTACCCTAAACCCACATAAGCACATACGTCCTAGGTCCAAAAATCAGCACATCAGCCAGCCACTGTCATAAGCTTTAAGCCTGGAAACAATAAACCTTAAAGCCTCAGCCCTCCAACTCGAAACCCTCCACCCTAAACCCTAAACCTTCAACCCTAAACCCTGAACTCTCTTTTTCAGCCATCGCTTGCGAGCTCCTCGCGCTTTCGCTTGGCCTGCCCAGGCCACGGCACCTGCCAAAGGCTGCTTGCTTTTGAAATCAATACACCTCTCCCAAAGGGTCCACGAACCTCTCTGGTATAGGGTTCAGGGGCTTAGGGTTCAGGGTTCAGAGTTCAGGGATTTAGGGTTTAGGGTTTTAAGGTCTAGGATTTGGGGTTTTAGGGTTTAGGGTTTAGCGAAACGAAACTAAGATCGTGGACAACCAAATGGAAGGCGGGGGGAGATGTCGGATATGTAGGGGGCTTCAGGGGAATAATGCCGTCAATTTTTCAGGCTTTTAGGTCAAGGGCTTGGGGTTGGATTTTTGCATGTTTACTCTGAACCCAAAACCCTATGCCTTGAAATAGGGACGTTGGGAAATTCCGGTTTTCAATACGTGGGCCCCTTAATGCCCTTTAACCCAATATTGACACTAAACATGCCGCAGGACCTCTGTAAACCCCTGCGTAATTGCAAAATCCATTCCGCCCAAATCCAAACATTAGGAAACGCCCCTTAATTATGGAGGCTCAGGCCCACATACACGCGGTGGGGGGGAGGGAGGTTCAAGAGGGAGTGGCCGGGGTTATTAATATGAAGTGAAAGCGATACAACTTAGACTACTGCTGATGCCAAAGACCCTGCATGGCCTTAGTATACACCAATATCATACTCCCAAGGTAAGTATAGGGTACGTACTTAGGGTCATGCACGATTCTCTGCATCCAGCGTAGAATCCCATAGCTTCAGAGGATTTCAAGGTACACTTAGGTTCATGTCATTTTTTTAGCGTGATCGTTATCTGTGTCTTCGTCGCTCATCCATCCGTACGTCTTACTTCCCACCAAACTCAGAGTAGCGCCCTCCAAACCCCAATCGAGATACTGGGTTGCTGGTACGGAACTAAATTTAAGTTACCATATCATAGGAATATGGGCCTAAGAGTCCAAGGACCCAAATTGTAGAATACTATAATATTAATGGTGTTTGGACCCTAAAACCCTACTATATGAGTCCCTGGACCCTTAGGGAACCCTACTGATGAGAGTACTTTAGCTTAAGCTCCTTAACAGCAAATAGAAATACTTCTCCGTCTTCATCCCTCTCTCTCTCTCTATATATATAGGGGTTTCCCAAAATTAAGGATACCATTTTGGGAGTCCCTATAATAAGGACTATCGTATTTTGGGGTCTATACTGAGGTCCCCCTATTTTGGGAAAGTACCATGTGCTCTCTGAATAACCCCCATTTAACCCTGAACCTATATGCTAGTTTCACCTCCCAATATAGACCCCAAAATATGTGAGTTCTTGCTATAAAGACCCTCCAAAATGGTATCCCTAGTTTTGGAAAACCCCACACAACAACCCTAAAGCACTAAACCACTAAAATCCTACAAGCCCCAAATAACCCCGTACATTTCAGGACAACACTGGCCTTTGGTTAGCTAGGAATGAAGGAATGATTCCTTACAGTAGCCCCTATATAACCCATTAGTACTAGTTTCCATGTCCTTTTCCATTCCTTCATTCCCAGCTAAACCCTAAGCTCTGCACACTTAACCTATATAACCCACTATAGTCATTCCCAGAAAAAGCCCAAGCCTCCCAGGTCTGCCAAGGACCAGGTTTTTGTGCAGAGTTGAGCAGGCTCCTGCAGTAGAAGAAGACCTGAACAGGTTGGGGTTTGGAGTTTTGGTGTTTTCGGAGTTTTGGTGTTGGGGGATTTCGGGTTTAAGGTTTTAGGGTTTTGGGTTTTAGGGTTCTAGAGCTTACGGTTTTCGAGTTTAGGGTTCTGGAGTTTAGGGGTTGAGGATTCTAGTCTGTAGGCTCTTATATTTGCAGCAGAAGAGGAACTCTACAAGTTAGGATCAGCTGCAGATACAGTCCCCTCAAAGGAATGCTGGTGGGTGTAGGGACACTTGGCACGGGGCTTAGTAGGGACTTTTAAGGTTTATGGTTTGGGGTTACTGGGTACAGGGCTTCGTAGGGATTGTTAAGGCATATGTTTTAAGGTGTAGGGCCTCAATCGTCAGCGGATTAGGTGATCGGTTGGACAATATACATGAAACAGGGCCTACACTGCTGAGACAAAACGCCAGAGGACTGAGAAGACTGCCGATTGCTCCCAAAACGGTAGAAGCTGCTCTTAGCCCTAAACCCTAAACCCTAAAAACCCTAAACCCTAACCCCTAAACCTAAAACCCTAACCCCTAAACCTAAACCCTAAAGACTCTGTACGGCCTCAGAAGGATGAGGTGTTCGGGCTAATAGTCTGACTGGTCCTTCACTGAGTGGTGGGGGTGATCTCCACAGAATTCCCTGTAAAATACGCAAGTCTACTGTACCCCAAATCACAGTACTTGTCTTCAGCGTCTCACTACTCTCTAGCACCAGTAAATAGCCAACACCCTAAACTCTATACTGGACCAAAACCTCTATCCCCCAAAGCCTCAGCCATGTGCGAATGAGTTGGAGAAAGGTATAATCGTCTAAATTCATAGTATCCCCCTTAATAGTGCCTACAATACTCCCCTACATACTCTCCTATACAACCCCCTTTAACTATAGATATCATGATAAGGCATAGCTCCGGGGGAATGCAAGTAAATAGAAGATCAGAGTTTAGGGTTCAAGGTTTAGGGCTTAAAGTTTTGGGGTTTAAGGTCTATATAGACTTCAAGATTTAGGGCTTAGGGTTGGGGGGTTAAGGTTTGGGATTTTGCAGTCTGGGGTTTAAGAGTTCGGCTTTAGGGCTTTACAACGTTTAGGATCCGAGCTTCGAGCTTGTGATCTCTTGTTCAAATTCAGGGATAGGGTCTCACGGTGCCGCCTATTGGTCTCTACCTCGCGGACTTTGATAAAACAGGTACTACTGGGGCCTAAATAATTACCAATATCATGCTGAGGTCCATTTGAGGTAACATATACTACCTTATACAAAGAACATGGAACCACAATACTGGTAATTATTTAGGCGCCTATAATACCCTTCGGGATTTGTTCGGGAACACAAGGGGATTGCCATCTGGGATTGCAGTAACTGCCGTACGCATTCTTCAGCCGGAATTTCGGGGATGGTCTATATGCCTGCAGATCCCAGTAGGTGTATATGATCTGCAAACGGTAGACTCCATGTAGGAGGCCTAAAGCCCATAGGCGCTCCAAAGCCCAAAGGCCTTAGGGTTTAGGGTCTAGGGTTTAAGGGTTTAGGGTTTAAGGGTTTAGGGTATCATCTTGAGATATATTTGCCCGCTCTTTTCATTCAGGGAATCTTGCACCTCGTCATTGGAAATTTTTAGAAACCCCTCGATTAGATATGGCAACCGGAATGACAGGATCGCGCCGGCCTTTCTGCTGCTGCGGCTGGAGATAATGATGCTCTGCATACCTAGGTCCGGTTTATATACACTCCCCCAAACTAACATTTAGAGGGACTGCAGTCTTTGTAGGGCCACTTTTGGGTTTCCATGTTAGTTCCCAGGAGTGTATGTAGGGTTTTTATGGGGTTTACAGAGTAGGGCTTCTTGTTGCAGAATCTGTAGCCTTTTCCGTCGAAGGTAGTCGCAGTTCTCTTAAAACCCTAGGCCGGAGTAAGGACCCAATGGGAAAGGTTTTATTTAGGTTTCGGGTTTAGGGTTCAGGGTTTAGGGTTCAGGATTTAGGGTTTAGGGTTCAGGGTCTAGGGTTTAGGGTTGTAGGAGCACCCCAACAACGCTCAACCCCTGAATCTCAGAACCCCAAGGGGGACCCTGCAAACAGCCCGGGATCCGATTTCTGAACCCATTGCGGGACTCCATCTTGTGTACATTTGTTTGGGGGCTGAACGATTGTCGTAAAACTGAACCCTAAACTTTAAACCTTAAACCCCTAAGCCCTAAACCACAAACTCTAAAGCCTAAACCTCCAAGCCCACAAGTTCTAGCCCCCCGAACCGGTCCTGAGTTTAGCTCAAGGGCAGGTAATGTCCGGGACTTCATCGCCCATGACCTGCTTTTGCAATGTTCAGGATTTTAGGGTTTAGGCTTAGGATGTTGGGTAGGGTTTAGGATTTCGGGTTTAGGGCTTGGGGTTTAGGTTTTAGGGTTTAGGGCGTAGGGGTTAGGGCTGCGAGTTTCACAGCTGTTTCTGAGCATCTACAAGGATGTTACCCAAGTATTCCAACAGGACTGACTCAGGGCATGAATAATAGAACCTTTGATCCCCCTAAGCTTTTTGCTGGCCTCTTCACGTGCCTCGTGGCGGGATATCTCAAGCTGCATGTGCTACAACTCCAGCTGAGAAAGCACAGTTGCTTTCCCTAACGGTCCAAGTACCTAACGATCATATACTTACCCAAAACCTGCACAATATTTGCTATGACCCAAAACCCGGGTACCAAACTATTGGGTACATGGACCCCCTATATACCCCTATATACCCCTTTAAAGTCGGCTACTTGGAACCTCAACCCTAAGCCCTAAAACCTACATATCCTTTTAAAGGGACCCAACTATTGGGAACTTGGACCCTCTGGGTTGGTTTTGCCTCCACCTCAGCCTGCGGGCTCTTCAGCTGCGACTGGAGGCCCTTGATCTTCTCTGTCTGGGCCTTCATCTACCATAAACCCTGGAACCCTAAATCCTAAACACTACAACCCGGAACCCTAGACCCCTAAACCCCTAAACCGTAAACCCTAAAAAGCCTAAACCCCTAAACCCTAAAAGCCTAAACCCCTAAAGTTGCTCGTCAATCCTGCAGAATGTTGACCTTTCTAGCCTGGCCTGTAACATACGGTATGGGTTTAGGGTTTGGATCTAGGGTTTTAGCTTTGGGATTTAGAGTTTAGGGTTTCGGATTAGGGTTTAGGCTTAGGGTTTGGCTTCAGGGTTTTGGCTTTAGGTTTTGAGAGCTCAGGGTTTAGGATCAGGGTTCAGGGCTTAGGAATTGGGTTTAGGGTTTGGGTTGAGCGTTTGAGGTTTAGGGTTTAGTTAGGTGTCGGCTGCAGAACTTTCGAACCTCTTGCTTTGTCATGAACTGGGTGTCTTTCTTCACGGTTACGATGGGCGCTGTGTCCCATTACTGACTTGCCTTGTCGCCCACGGATTTGGATCCCAAGCCCCAACACCCTATAGTACCTTTACAATACGCCGTCCGGCCTTGCGCCAGGCGTCAAGGGATACGAGCGGTCCCTTCTGGCGCAAGGTCTCGTCCTCGTGGTCACGAATTCAGCATGCAGAGTTTTGAGCTATAGTCCAAACTCTTAGTATCCCCCTCAATAACCCCATAATACGGGAAGGCTGCACCCTAAATCGCCCAAATCCTAATCCCAAAGCTCTACCGCTAAGCCCTGGACTAGCGGTCATGGTGTGCAGATGTACGACCCAAGCAGGCTTCTACATCATGGTCTTGGAGCTGCGGTTTTCAGGCTTAGAGCTCGCAATAAGGGTTTAGGGTTTAGGGTTTGTCCGTGACATCCACAGGAAGGTCTTGGGTCCTTAGTCTTGAAGGTTGCCATACTCTTCCGGCGACCGAAGACCGAAATGCTACCCTGAACCCTAAAACCCCAAACCCTAAAACCCCTAAACCCTAAACCCCTAAACCCTCAAAACCCTAAAGCCCCTACACCCTAAACCCCTAGACTCCTAAAACCCTATTTGGAAGCTCCTGCGGGCGCAGCGGAGAAAAGCCGAAGTCTGGCATGTCTTCTGAAGACCTTTTCTACAAGGTTTGGGGGTTTTAGGGTTTGGGGTTTTAAGCTTTCAGAGATTTATGGTTTTGGCATCTATAGTGTTTTAGGGTTTAGGCTTTTGGGGTTTTAGGGCTTAAGGTTCAGGGCTTAGGGCGGGTTGAGGGCTTCTGCTTCCTTAAATGGATGTGAATACAATATGCTTGGTCTATATGGATACTGCATTTCTTTATACATGTATAAGCGTTTGAAACTTTAATCCCTGGCTACTAAATATCATCATAATTCTATGCATTGAAGATGTATTCTGTATGGGATTCTCGTGTATAAGTCAAGACTGACACTTTTTCCAATAATGGCGCTATGTTACGAGCCCTAGTCATCAGCGCTTTGTTTAAAAGACCACTATACTTGCACTGAGCCTACACCATCAGCTCATCTTGCCGCAAGAAACTAAGCCCGTCTTTCTGAAAATGCACGATACCTCTGACTCGAGGAAGCCTCACCCTGCACCCAAAACCCAATATCCCAATAAAACCTATAAGCTCTGAATCCTACCCCTTCAGACGTCACTGTGAAACAAAACTTAAGCAAGCCCAAAACCGACACTTGCTGGTGCTTGAGTGGAAGCCAACCACTATAACTAACCCTACATACTGTGGATGGAAAAAGTCTTGCACCACCTCAGATACTTCGTACTCCAGTAATTTCAATATTTTGGGCGAGTTCTAAGTGGTGCAAAAATTCCTCCATCCACCCCGTAAACCCAAACCCATAAACCCCTGAACCCTGAACCCCCTAAACCCTAAACCCCTAGAATAATAACTAGTGTCACTCCCTGAAGCACCGGGAAGTCATCGCAAAATCCAAGCCTTTCAGCTCCTCCAGCTCTGATCCCTAAACCCTACACCCTATACTCTAAGCCCTAAACTTTGGGTACTGCCCCTCAGTAACAGTTGGATAATATTTATAATATGGCTATATATAGCCCTTAATAGGACCCCTAATATAGACTGTTACTGGGTGGGGGCAGTACCCAACCTAAACCCTAAACTTTAAATCCCTAAACCCTAAACCGCCTAAACCTTACCTGCTGAAGCCTAAATCCTGAACCCTAAAAACTACCTAAAATCTACCTTTGGGGCTTCCCAAACTTAGGGGTACTTTTTTGGGCTCCCTATACAAGAATAAGGAATACTTTATTTTGGAGTTTATATGAGCTGTAGTGTAAACTCCTAGTATCCCCCTTTATATCCCCTATATAGTAGTTCTCTATCTAATCCCCTATATAACCCGTTCAAGGAGTTTAGACTATAGTTTATATTGAGGTCCAATATGTTGAGAAACTACCAGCCGAGGCACGGAGACAGTGTCGTCGACAGCAGCATTGCCAATTCATCTCGTAACCTCTCGCTGCCTGGGCTTCTTAGGGCTTCGTGCCATATTTAGGGTTTAAGGTTTGGGGTTTAGGGTGACTAATGTAGACCCCTGATTAGTCAACCCCCTCTCCTTAGTAAGGATTATTATAGGGATCTTAATCTTCAGGCCCTTAAAAGACAGGGGTTTATTCATCATGGGTCAACATTATCCTTATTAACTAACCCGGGAAACCTAGGGGGGATAGTATTGGCGGGGTAGGTGGGAAACTCGTGACCCCAGGTCTCTTCAAAACATCAGCCAGGGCTCTGTCAATGTCCCGACGCTTCATAACCTGTTCACCATGCACAACAGAGGGGACATTTATCTGGCATCCCAGTTGGACCATGCACCTATATTTTATAGGGTTTAGGGTTTTCAGAGTTTAAAGGGTTTAGGGTCCATGCACGTATATCGCGTATAATTAGGCCCCCAATTACCTATACAGGAACCTAAGTATATACCATGTACGTACATGGACCTTTTGGGCATGAGGGCACTTGGCCGTTGGTTAGAAGGGGCTGTCAGACTGGCATGCCCTGGAGACGCCTAGGAGTAAAAGTGAAATATGAGGGTGGTTACAGGGATTCCCTTCACGGATTCTATGGTATTTGGAGGGGGAAGCGCGCATCGTTTGCCGGTGTCATCTCCTGCGTTGCTGCTGGTTCGCAAGAAGAAAATCACGAACATCTGCTCGATGCTGCTATCCAAATTTGTAACTGTGATGATAGTCCGTGGTGCTGCAGGTGTCTTCCCTAAACCCAAAACCCTAAACCCTGTTAACCCCAAACTACTTGGGGCCCTTAAGTCTAAGCCAACCCTGCAGTCAAATCCCGAAGCCCAACACTCAAAGCCAAAGCCCCTGCCCTAATCTCCCAGTTAATCCCTTAAACCTAAAACCTGAATCCAGTCTAAACCCTCAACCTGAATCTCCACAACGCCATAGATTGAGGAAGGGCTAAAAGATGCACATCGCCCATGAAGTAACCTCTCAAGACCAGTTGTTACTCGGTTCTCCTGACCTCGTAATTACCATCGCTGTTACCCTTACTGTTATTACCGGTATATCGCTATTTCTACCGTTGTAAGCATTCGTATCGTTTGTTTCCGCTATAACTACTGTTATCCTTGTTATCATTAAGAAGCAGCAGGAGCCCTGAACCATCCGAGGCGCTTGGCTCACTTCCTCCCTCCTAGGACGAATAGTGGCCCTTAAGTAGCTCGACGATGGGGTGTAAGAAAACCCTACTCTTGTTTCGGGAATTTCATAGTTACTCTGTCTACTCAAGGGTTTATATCTTTAGACATGCACAAGGGGCAAAGTGTATGTTTATAATACAGGGGTAAGGGAGCAAGGGTTGGGGCTTACGCCGAAAAAGCCTGAGTAACAATCACAGCTATATGCGGATCCCGGAGTGATATGGTTATCGTGCCCCTGGGTCCTCAGAGACAGGCCAAAGAGCTTAGAATTCGGGGCTTTGGGTTTGAAGCTTGGGTCTTGGGTCTGGGGTTTAGGGGGGTGTTGTTTGGTGTCTAGGTCATGGGGCTTTTAGGGTATGGCGCTTATGTGGGTTCTAGGCCTGAGGCGTTAGATTGGGGAAATGTCAAAACAAGGAGGGTTTAGATTCTGCAAGACACCCGGCATGTTGAGCCTTTTATTTGGAGCAAGCCAATCACAAGAGTGAGTAGGACGACTTCTAGCCTAGATCCCCAGTTTGAAGCTCTAAGCAATACTACTGCTAAGGGTTTAGGGTCTAGGGTTGACAGTGCCGGACCTCCTTCTAGTGTTGTAGTATCGTAAGTCCCAGGGTACAAGTTACTTAGTCTCAGGCAGGATTACATATCAACTATCCTGAGTTCCAATCCTAGACCCAGGCCCTTAGTCCGTAATACTGAATCCTGAGCCCTAAGCACCAAATCCCAAGCCCTATCATCTGGAGGGAGCTTCAGGATTTTGGGTTCAGGATTTAGGGCTTAGGATTTAGAATCTAGGGCTTAGGATTTAGAATCTAGGGTTTAGACTTTACAGGGTTTAGAAGGTAGGATCTGGAATTCAGGGTTCGAATTTCTTTGCTAGCTTGGAGAAACGCAAGTCAGGCAAAAGTCTTCAGCATTGAATTCCCAAACCCTAAACACAAACTACCCATAAATCCTAATCTGTGAACCCTTTTCCCTAAAATCGAATCATCCAGTCCCCGCACCCTAGCAGCACTAAACTCCAATCACTACACTCGCATCCCTACTCCCTACAAGTCCTAAATGCGAAATCCTAATCTAAGCCCTAAGCCCTTATAAGCCCTAATGTAGACCCCTGATTAATAAACCCCCTCCTTTTAAGGGCCTTAATATGAGGATCCCTATGATAACACTGCCAAGGGGAGAAGGTTTTTTAATCGTGGGTCTACATTAAACCCCTAATGCAGAGTCCAGGGCTCAGCCACTTAGTTTTCGGCCAGCGATCGTCAAAGGCCGAACCGCTCGGCTCATTGCTGCGGCAGACGACACTGCCCCGCGGCAGCCTTTGCTGAAAAAGCACTTCAGGCGACCCTTTTGCGGGTTGGGGTTTAGGGCTCAGAATTTTGTGTTTGGGTTTCAGGGCTTAGGGTTTAGGGCTTAGGGTTTAGGGGTCTGGGTTTAGGGTTCAGGGCTTGGGGTCGTGGCAAAAACCCTAGCAACCCTACAGTCTATTTCAGGGATGTGACGTGACGAGACGGAAGATGTGGCATAAGTCTTAGGATTTGATGTTTAGGACTTGGGGTTTTAGGGCTTAGCATTTAGGGTTCAAAGACTGGAGTTTGGGATTTGAGCTTTTCGGGTTTGGGGTTTTGTTTTTTGAGGGTTGCTAACCCAAGTCTTTGAGCATCTTCCGATTGGAGGTCAGAGCCAGTGCTTCATCCAACTTAGCAGTAAGCTCTGCTTCAGCCGTGCTCAACGCCGTTGTGGACTGCCTTTGGCTCTTCCACATTATTGGGCAGCCATAAAGCGTGACCAGCAAGCCTTGATGTGATCGCGAGCCCTCGGGCGCGAAAGAGGCGTCGGCATAAGACTGCAGTCCAGTGTTGTCCGCAACGAACTTCATGACCCACCCTTATGTTCGCTGGAGAAAACCAAGGGTCCTCATACCAACCTGCAATACCCTTTGCCGGTCTCGCGTTCAAAGGGAAGCGGCCAGCGAGCATGCATAGCCCACGTCGGGGCGCGTCCTCTGGGCGACGACCCATAGGAGCTCGCCCGCGATCTGCTGCGCAGCTCTGATCTCATCAGCTGTAGGGCTGATGCCCGGAGTTGGCGTAAAAGACGCCACAGGTCTACTGGGACCGGAACCACTATCAGAAGGGACCGAAAGCCGGATCGAAAGTCAAATGTACACATTTCCCCATGCAAGTCATTAGATGAGTTCCTACTAGGGAACATACTTACAAATATACCAAAGGAACCCCTATGTGCACCCTCAACGGTCCCTTTGTAACCTAAGATGTGGACACTAGCTCAGAAGCCCTAAGCCCTAAATAAACAGATAAATAGATGCATAAGTAGAAAAAGGAACGTATATATATATATATATGTGTATATATATGTACACACACATAAATATCTCTATCTATCTATATATATATATGTATATATTATGTGTCTTTCTGCAGACCACCCTTTTAGATACTATTTGTCCCTTATAAAAGGACTCCGCGAGTCTACAGGACCCAACCCAGGCCTCCAAGCCATACTCCCCTCAGAAACACTAGGGTCTAGGGTTTAGGAGGGTCTAGGGTTTAGGGTTTAGGGTCTAGGGTCTAAGGTTTAGGGTTTAGGGTCTGGGGTTTAGGGTTTGGGATTTGGGGGTCAAGCCCTACATTGGAGTTCATAGAATTCGGAGCCCCTCTTGGGAGTCTCTACAATAAGGGACATCGTACTTTTGAGAGTGTATATTGTGGTCCGCCTCATTAAAACAACAAAAATCGTATGACGATGTTCCATTGCATTCCGTCCGAAGACGTTCAATGCGCTACTTACTGGCTGTCTCGTGCCTCCCTTGACTGGTTCCGCATTGAGCTCAAGGTTAGGGGCTTTAAAAGGTGTTCTTCTTCCAATTGGGTTATAGGACAGCAAAGCCTCAGATGTGTTCCTAAACCCTAGACCCTAAAACCCTGTAACAAAAAAACACTAAAACCCTAAAACATGTGCCAGCTAAGGCTTTAGGTCTCCTGCGGCGTTCAAGACTTGATGCCTTTCAGGGAGGACAGGTGAAGCACAAACCTCAAAGTATAGGAGTTTAGGGTTTAGTGCTTCAACGTATAGAGTTGGGGACATATAGGGGTTATATAGGGATTAAAATAGTAGATTGTATAGGGGTTATATATATATATGATATAGGGATAATGGATAATCACATGGAAAATCAAATATGGAGTTGGGGCGGCCAAGCCCTACAGGCCTTCTCCCCAAAGGTTCGTGGACCTATGTGATATATACTTTGGGCCCACAGGTATTCCAATATAGGTCCTTTAGCGCCGAAGTAGAATTATACTATATAGGTACATGGACCCTTTGGGTCAAGTTCCAGCACAGAATGCAAGGTCTAGCCCTAAACCCTAAACCTTAAACCCGAAGCTGAACATCTCGCTGGCTAAAAGCTGATGGCTGCTACGGCTGTGCGCAGGCCATTTTTCAATGGCAGACCGTGGACCCTTTGTGGAAAATGTTCAGCCCAGTAGTAGAAAACAAAATGCTGGGTCCAAACTCTAAGCCTGACCACCCTAAAACCCAAACCCTAAACCCTCAACCCTAAATCCTCAACCCTAAACCCTAAGCCCTAATCCCTAAACCTCCTCCAACCCCTGGGCCATGACTCAACACAACAGAACCATTGCATGAAGCAGATCCA